CGCGCGGTTGTCGCCCCGCCCCGCCTTGAGACGCCCCCTCGGCTGTACGACCCAGGGGGAGGGGGCGGGGGGGTCTGTTGCCCATACTCGCGAGGACGAACCCGTCTGCTCGGGCCTTTCTCTCTCTTTCTCTCTCTCTCCCTCTCTCGACAAAGCCCCGCTTCCCGCGCGGCGGGGCCTCGGTCGACAGAGGTGGCGTCCTCCATTCTGGGGTGCGGGGACCTGGCGCAGGTCCCAGATGCGGTGTGCTTCACAAAGTCTCCTGCGCTCCGGCTCCCGCCCCCCCCCCCCTCCGCCAGTCCCCTGCGCAGCCGTTGGTGAAAGACCAAGGCGTTCTTCAAGACAACGTCCCTCGCCCCCAGCCCTGGGCGGTTGGGCCCACGAATTCCTCCCCCCCCCGGAGGTGGGGCCCCGGGAGAGGCTTTCTTCCGAGAAGGCCCACCTGGCGACCATATCACCGCCCAGACCGGCCTTCCCCCAGCGCCAGCAACAGCACCCTATCTCCCCCTGGCCTGGTCCTGACGTCGGGGCCCCCTGCCCCGCCCCCCTCTGCCGAATACCGCCGGCGTGCCTGTCCCCCGCCCCCGTCATGCAGGGAAACACCGCTTACCACCACCACCCCCCCCCCCCCCCCCCCCCCCCCCCCCCCCCCCCCCCCCCCCCCCCCCCCCCCCCCCCCCCCCCCCCGCGTAGAGTCTGGTTGTTCTGCCCCGCCCGCCGCCACGAGCTCACGGGGTGCCCCCGATCGTCCATGCTCAAAAAGCAGATCTATTCCCCTTTGGTAGTCACGGCCTACGCATACAAGCGTGACTCCAGGGCGCTCATCAGCTCCTACGGGGGCCGGGTGGCAAAAAAGATGCGCCGATCGCGGGCACGAAAATGCACGGCCGGGGAGAGAACGTTCACTCTGGTAAGTATATGCACTTGTGTGCAGGCATGTGCAGGCATGTGCGTGTGTGTGTGGTGTCGCCCTCGCCCTGAGTGAGATCGGGGAGGATGGCGTCTCATCGCCGGGACGGGGCAAAGAGAAAACCCATTGCACGCAGCCCCACACGACAGACACACAGCCCTCCCCGTGGTTGCACACTTCCCCCATGAGATTGCCCGCAGGATACGCACCGCATAGGTGCTGGCCACCGCAGGAGCGCCGGCCCGCTCGAGTTCCGGCACCAGCAGGCGCTCGATACAGCGTTCCAGCTCGGCCGCCGGGATGTCCACCCCCCCGGTGATCAGGGCCGTCAGCCGGGGCACCACTGTCTGGCCAATCAGACGCCCACCGGCCGGGCTCAGGGGCAGGGCAGCCGGCACAGCCCCCGGCTCCCGGTGTGCCGAGCCCCCCTCCCGGAAGACCGGCAGGTCCAGCACCGCCGCCAGGTCCGGCAACAGCCGGAAGGAGTTGCCCGGGGCCGACGCACCGTCCGGAGCACGGGCCACGGACTGGGTGCCCGCTTCGATTGGGTCGACCTCCATGGCATCGGCGGCCGCGGCGATGACCGCCGCCCCCGGGGCCGGCTCCTCGTCCTCTACCGCCGTCGCCGCCGCCGCCGCCGCCGCCAGGCGCGCCCACTCGCCGGTCGTGTCCAGCGGATTCCAGCGGAGGAGAGCCACGCGCACCAGCGGGGCAAACAGGCGATCCAGCGACTCGCGCGCGTACGCGGCCTCATAGCTTTCCGGGCTCTGTGAGCGCCAGGCCTCCAAGCGTACGCCCAACAGACGCACATCGGCGAATTCCGCCGGCACGTTCCGCAGGAGTTGCGGCCCAGCCCGCGCGGCTACCGCCTGCCACCGTGGCCAGGCCGCGGTCGGATCGCCGCCGTCCGCCGGCTGCTGCTGTTGCCGCTGCTCGACCAGATCTCGGGCCAGGGCGTCGGCGGCCTCGCGCTCAGCACGCTCAAGCGGCTCACGCAGCGCGGCCATCCGATCGCCCAGATCGTCCAGATACCGACGAAGCCCCTGGTGGAAGAGGTAGCGCGAGCGCGCCGTCTGAAGCTTCTCCCCACCGAGGGTGATTTGCGCTTCATCCTGCTCGATCTGCCGCTCAGCTTCGGCCAGGCGGCGGTCATTGGTCTCGGTCTGCCGTAGTGCCAGGCATGCATGCACACATTGTGCATATGCATGGGTGTGTCAGTACAGCGTGATATATGGCAGGGAGTCAAAGGAGGAGCGGGGGGAAACCCCCCCCCCCAAGGCGGAGGGGAACCACCACATGGGGCGGGCTCCATACCTGTGCGGCCATGCGCGAGGCCAGATGCTCCAGCCGGAGGGTGACATTGCGCAAGGACGGGGCTGTCGGCAGATCCGGCGCTTCGAGGGGCCCATCAGACGAGAAGGCCCTGTGCAGCGAAGAGGTCGAGCTTGATTCTGCATGGCGGGATGATGAATAGACGTTCGCCCGGAGACGGTCGAGGCCATTCGGGTCAGTTCCAACACCACTGCCACCATGCGGAGGAGGGAGGGAGGAAGGAGGAGCAGGGAAAGTACGAGCGCAAAAAGAGCCAGCGCGCGGGAGCACAGCCATCAAAGGGCGTACCATTGAGGAAGACCACATCCACCGGAGCTCGATCACTCCCGGGAAGGACCGTACGGCGTTGGGACGCCAGGTCGCGCCGGGCACGCGCCAGCAGGCTGGCATCGGTCGGTCCCTGCATGTCGGCATGCGAGCCCACCCGCGCCACCTGCCCGGCGGCGTCCACAAACACCGCCCGGGCACGGACACCTCGCGTGACCAGCTCCGCCTCCCATTGTGAGAGGGTCGCCTCTTCATCATCATCATCCTCCTCAGCCACATCGGCGACCATGGCGGCCGGCGAGTCGGGGCCTGCGTCGGCTCGGGCGCCGGCTCCCGGGGGGGCCATGCTCCGGCGCATGTCGACCAGCAGCTGACTCCGGCGCGCGGCGGCATGATCCCCGCCCGAGCGTCCGGATGTGAATTCCTCCTCCAGCAGGTCAACCTCGCCATCGGGGTCGTCCTGGCGCGGGCGCCGGCGCCGACCGGCCGCCTCACTGCCACCCGGGGGCCCGACATCCGCCACATCCACCTCCATGGCATCATAGTCGCTGCCGGCGCCACCGCGGCGACGCGACAAGGGAATGAAGTCCGGCGCCGGCGAGCGATACCGATCGCCACCTGGGCCGTCGTCATCCGTGTCATCGTCCGAGTGTAGGCCACCATGCGAGCGGGCCTGCCGGCGGGCGGCCAGACGCGCGCGCGCCTGCGCCTCCTGCCGCGCAAGGGATTCCTCCTTCCAAGCCCGGATGGTCGCCTCATCGGGCACATAGATCGGTGTGACACCGCTGGCCGGGCCGTCGGCCATGCTGCCAGCCTCGCCCTCATCCTCGTCCTCCAGGACCGACACAATCTCCGGCCGGGACTCGCCAGCCAGGAAAAGCGACGGCGTGGAGGCCTTCAGCTGGGCCAGCGCCGCGGCGCTGTAGTCCCGAGAGGGGCCGACCAGAGTCGGGCCCTGTCCAGCCGCCGGGCCTTCTGTCACACGGGGATTCACCAGTGACCCACCACGCGACCGACCAGCACCGAGAGACCCGGAAAAACGCGACGGCCCACGGCCGGACTGTAGCACCCGGGGCCGAGGTGGGGATGGGGATGGGGGGAGGGGGGAGGGGGGGGGGGCGGGGCGGGGCAGATGCCAGGGCAAAGGTGGGGAGCGGGAAATGTGCGACAAAGAAAGAGCCGGTGTCAGAGTGCATGCAGGTTCGGGATGCCCGATCGGCCGCCAGGCAGGAGAGAGAGAGAGAGAAAGAGGGAGAGAGAGAGAGGGAAAAAGAGGGAGAGAGAGAGAGAGATAACGCACCTGAACACTCGAGGTGCCGCCAGAGCGCCTCCACAGAGGGCCAGTGTCCGTGCCACCGGGGCCAGTCCGCGGCCCGGGGCCCGGCACAAAGTCCTCCTCGCCCTCCTCCTCGCCAAAGGAGAGCTTGGCAGCCGGGGCAGCCGGGCGCGATCGGGCCACTCGCGATCGGGGCGGCGGCGCGGCCACACCGACATCCGACGGATCGGCATCAGGGTCAAGATCAGCGAGGGCCGGACGCGGGGCCGCTCGTGTGCGACTTCCGCGCGACCGAAAGAGCGACGCCCTCTCGGTAGGTGGGCTGCTGCCGGCGGTCGCCGCCCCGGTGTCAGTGGTCACCGCGCTCGAAATCGAAGGCAGAGAGGTGCCCTGCTTGTTGGGGCAAAATGTTGTGTGAGTGGGATCCAGAAGTGGCAAAGTGCCGCGTCTGTGCGTGTGCGTGTGCATGCGTGTGTGTGTGTGTGTGTGTGTGTGCGGGTATGTATGCGCGGAGGTGCATATACATGGCACGCACCATCGAGGTATCACCTTCCTCCGGGTCGTCTGGCTCCAGGGCAAGGGGACGCCGGCGCTCGGCCATGCGGCGCGCCTGCGAGGCCCGAGTAGACGAGAAGGACATGAGCCGCGCGACTGGGCACGTCCGATGTGGGAGGGCACGGACGCGTGGGACAGAGAGAAAAAGGGGAAGAGTAAAAAAGTGGGGACAAAGTGGTCGGAGGAGGGGCCAAGGGCATGCTGTGTGTTGTGGTGGCTTGGGAGAGGGGTTGCGGGGGGTTTCACACCAGCGCGTTTTCGGGCTCCTCCACGCGATCCCCCCTCGCCCGCCTTCCTTCGCTCTCACCCCTCCTGCCGGACGGATGGCGACCCGAACCGGGTGCGATCCGTGGGCACAGCAGGTGGCTGTCATCATGTGCACCGTGTCACGTATCGGGTGCTCCGTGCTAATATGCCAACGTTTCCCCCTTTAAAATGGACCCAGTCCCGGACTGGAAGGGGGACACTGCGCCGCTAGATTGCATCATCCCTCTCGCCCCCCTCGTCCGCTGTTGCCTCCCCCGCTCCTTGCCTCCCCACCTTTCTTCCCTCCTCTCGAGGCACTTGTTTGCGCTCCTTCCCCCGTTCTATCCTCCCCACCGCACTCGAGCCATGGTACGCCATGCGTCATCCTGCACCCAACTGCATCTCTAGTCGCCCTTAGCCTCAGCTGGTTGCCTCTTTTGCTGGCGCACAACCATGCAGGCATTCTGACCCCCCGTCCTCCCTTTGTCTGCGGCTCCTGTCCATTCAACCGCGGGGTGCATGGCCAGTTCACCACACTCAGCAAGGTGCAAAACGGTACGCCTCCCCCTCCCTCCGCCTGCTCCCTGCCTTGTTGTACCCCCCCCACACACACACATACACACACGCACACACACACGCACATCTTCTCTGCGTGTCCGCCAGGTGCCGGTCGCTTTCTAACCCCTCCGTGTGTTCGCACACTTGTGCCCGTTTCTGCAGCGCACAAGGGGCCGATCTGGTCTTGCACATGGGTTCCGGCCCAAGCCGCCACCCTGCCCTCCTTTGTGGCCACCGGCTCCGTCGACGAGACGGTTTCTCTGTGGTTCGTACTGCCCCCTCTTCGCCCCCCCCCCCCCCCCCCTCCATCTTTCATTCTCATGGGCGGCCCCACCACCTGACATCCATCCCGGTCCTGCAACTGTCTACACACATACATGACAGGGACCCGGAGTCCTTCAACAAAGTGCACGATGCCAAGACCCGCTCGGCTGGCGGGCTGGCCATCAACTCGATTGTCGCCTCGGCTGATGGGAAACGTCCGTCACTCCCTTCCTGCGCCCTTTGCCCGCCCTTGCCATTGCCATCGGTTGATTCTGACACCGCCACAATCGCCCCCATTCAGGCATCATCACCTCCTCTCTGGATAATCAGATCACCGTCCTCTCGGTGGGAGGCGCCACCGCCACTCTCGAGTCCAATGGTGACAGCCTGGTCGACGAGGCGGCCTCCAAGCAGAAGGACGACTCCACTCCGGCCGTGCGGAAGTCCGCGCAGGGAGACTACACCGTGGCCCTGACGGCGACTCATAAGATTGCCGCCGGCCCGGCCGAGTCCTGGACCGTCTGCCTGTCCCCGTGCGGGACGCAGATTGCCTCCGGCACGCCTGCCGGGAATGTCAACATTTGGCAGATCCCCCCGGCCGGGGCCCCGGGGAGTGTGGTCGAGATCACCGACAAGCGCACCATCAATGTGTCCAACCGGCTGGTGCTCTCGGTTGCCTGGAGCTCGGATGGCACCCTCATCGCCGCTGGCATGGAGAATGGCTCGATTGCTCTGTACAACATCGAGCGCGGCCAGCCTCTGCCCACGATCAATGGTACGCCAACGCACCGGGAACATCCATGGCCACGCTGCTGCATGTACTGATCCCCGGCCCCTGTCCTTCCTGGTCCTCCTCTCCCTTCGTTTGCTTCCTGAACAGACGCCCACTCGGGCCCTGTCCGCACGGTGGCCTTCTCGCCGGACAGCAGCACCCTCCTCACAGGCTCCGATGATGGGACCCTTGTTTTGCATGACGTGTGCGTACCTCGCTGCCCTCTCGACTGACATCACCCCCCTCTCGTCGCACTCACTCTTTCTCTCTTGTTGTCGCCCCTCCCCCCCCCCCCCTCCCCCCCCAGCAACGTCGGCTCCAAGATCTCCACTTTCACCGGACACACCTCGTGGGTGCTGTCGGCGGCCTTCCAGCCGCACACCGACACCATCAAGTCGCCGAACCAGTTCATCAGCTCCAGCGCCGACGGATCGGTGCGCGTGTGGGACGCCCAGGGGAGCTCGCTCCACGTGTCGAACACCGCTTCCAAGAACACCGATTCCGGTGGCTGCCTCTTTTCCTTCAAGGAGCACACTGACCAGGTGTGGGCCGTTTCCTGGGACCCGACCACTTGCCGTCGGGCCGTCAGCGTCGGTGACGATGGTGCCATTGTCTTCTACAAGATCAACTAAGCCGCGACGAGGGAGTTGGATGCCCTTACACCATTCCGCTTTCCTTCCCTACACCCCCGTCCCCACGGCCGCTGTCATGCCTGCCCCCCCCCCCACCCTTCTCGCGTCCCCTTCCCATCTCTTGTGGGCTCCAACCGGGCGAGTGGACAAAAAAAAGAGGTCTCCAAACATCGTTTGCCCGGATGTCGTGTTCTTGCACAGGGGGGAATAGTCTCCCCCCCCCCTCTCTCTCTCTCTCTCACACACACACACCCTCTGATCGTGCCCATGCCCCCAGGAGGGACCTCTCTCTCGGGTTGGGGAAAGTAAATAAAAGAAAAGAAGAAGCCCCCTCCCCCGATCAACAGCCCCATATCTAAGTGTGTGTATTGTCGGCCAATGCCGCCTCCCTGTGGCACATGCGCACCATTAGGTGCCCAAATCGTCCCAGTCCTCCTCATTCGGGTTCTGCCGAGACACCGGGGGCGAGCCACCCGGCGGCGGGGGATGTCGCGTGGCGGCCCCCTGCGACTGTCGCGTCAACTGGTGCGACTGCATTGCCTGGAAGCTTTCCACTAGGTACTCATAGTGCGGGTCATGGGTTGTCGATGACCGGGAGGGCATTTGGAGGGAGTAGCCCGACGGCCTGGCATCCAACCCCAGGGTGTCTGGCGGATGGGCGCTGATGCCGAACAGGTCGTCCAGCGAGCCCGGTCGGCCGGCACCTGGGCCGAAGCCCGCCTCGCCGGCCTCCTCCTCCTCCTCCTCCTCATCGTCCAGGTCCAGGATGAGCGATTCGTCGACCTGGTGCTCGGGTGGCAGGTACCCGCTCGGATTGGCCCCATGGTCGGGGTATGCGCCATCGGTCCCTGGCCGCAGGGACAGCGAGCCAAGCATGGCCGAAAACCGGGCCAGGCCGTCGACAATTTGCCGGGGGTTGCCCGGACCGGCCGCCGAGCCCCCGCCAGCGCCACCAGGCTGTGTGCCCCCCCCCAGGCTGGCCCCCCCTGGTGAGGCGACCGAATGGTACAATCGACTGGCCAAGGAATTGAGCCCCCGGGCAAGGGAATTGTCCTCCCCGTGGCTGGCCGGCAGCGGGGTGTACTTCACAGCCGGCGTGGTCTCATCTGCCACGAGGACATCTAATGAGGGCACATCAAAGAGGACCCCGCCCGAGCAGGAGGAGTCGCTGTCGGACCCCGGGTTCAGCGATGCGCCTGGGGCATCGGCTGGCCGGCCAGGACCCAATGGGGGCGACCCCGGTGCCGAGGAGGCGGACCCCGACATGAGAGGCGATCCCTGGGCCGAGTAAAGCAAACTGCCGGAGCTGTGTGGCGATGATCCGGTCGGACCCTCGGGCAGGAGGCTCGCGACATCCGGCTGGCGATCGACAGAGAACAGCCTCCCTCCGACCGAGGCCAGGCCCCGGGCGAGCGAGTCGCCGGAGCGCGAGGCACGCCAGCTGCTGCTGCTGCTGCTGCCGCCGCCGCCGTGGTTGACGGACGAGGTGCCGGTGCCACCGGGCGAGGTGGCGGCCAAGGCGCGCTCCTCCTCCGGCGGGATGTCGATCGATGCCGAGATGTACGACCAGGTGGAGGTAACGGGCCCGGTGGACTCGTCAAAAAAGATGTAATCCACCGGTGGCGGGTGTAGCGGATTGCGGAAGTCCAGCATGGCACATTCCCCCAGCTCCGGCATCTGGAGGGACCCTCCGCGGACGACTGTCCGGAATGGAAGTCTTAGAAAAGGGACCGACAGAGGGAGAGGGAGATCGGGTCAGCGCAACATGAAGTGGGGACTCACCAATAGCCAGGCATTCAGCCTCTGTTCCCTTTGGCGGCCTCATGTGTATGTTTATACATGCATGCATGCATGAATGTATGTATGTATATATATATATGTGTGTGTGTGTGTGCGAGGGCGCGCGTGCGTATGTGCCGGTGCGAATGCCCAAATGTGCATGTGCATGTGTGTGTGGACGTACAGACCAAGCTTCAGCTCGCCAAGGATGCGGAAGAGGACCAGGAGGCCGGCACGGCGCTCGTCAATGCGGCACGTATCCGCCAGAAAAGGCGGATAAATGTGGTCCACGGCAGCCTGCTCGACGCCGAGATCAGCCCCCCGGGCCAGGGAGTACTCTTGGCCCTGGATAATCAGCGGTCGCCGAAGCGCCAGGCTCAGGGCCGCACATGCATGGTTGAAGCGGCCAAAGGCCGCGTGAATGCCCGCGGAGTCGATGGCGAAGTTCCGTGCGGCCGGATCGAAGGCAATCCACTGGAGGTCACTCGGCGAGGCCAGGCTCCTGACAATGCTCACCGGCAGCCCAGTCGTGTCGACCACCAGAAGGCTATACAGCAGTCGAAGCAGGTGGGTCCCGGATTGGAGCATGTACACAAGATCCGAAGCCATGAGGCCTGGCGTGGCAAGTCAAAGCAGGCGGACAACTGTGTCAGGGGGGGGAGGGGGGGGGGGGGCGACAGGTGTTGTGTGTCCTGAGGGGGGGAATCCATATACGCTCATGGATATGCATGTGCCTTTGTGGGTGGGTACTTGAAAAAGGAGCCGGGGCAGGCGAGTGGAAGCGCTGCCGGGCTATTCTCCTCCACGCCACTCAACAAAGAAGCAAGGCAGGGGGCGGGGGGGAGGGGGGGGGGGGGGGGGAGGGAGGATGGCACGGCATATTCAACATACCGGAAATGTCGCCATCGATGCGGACAAAGCACTTGTGTAGGAATACCGCGCCGGGATTTCCCGGCGAGGAGTGGTGCTTCAGGGGGAAGAGGTCGTGCAATTCGGCCGCCAGGCGAGCGCGTTGGGTCTGAAGAAGTGCCAGGGTCTCGGTGTCGGGCGCTGGGGCCGGTCGGGGACCGGGGGCGGCAAGCAGCAGCTCGGCAGCCGCCAAGCTGTGCCGGCGCTGGCGCAAGGCCCCCACCCGATCTCGGAGGCGCTGCTTTTCCTGGCGCACGGCCTCAGCTCGCCGGGCCAGGTTCTGGCGCAGATGGTGCACCGAAGTTAAGGCAGCCTGGATGGCTTGATCCTGGAGGAGGACACGCCCAAGCGGTTCGCCGGCCAGCCAGCGGACCTGCGCCGGGTAGTCCGGCACCGGGAGGCGGCACTTGGGTTCGCATCGACTGGGCCCCATGAACCCGGCGGTGTACTGGTCGAATGTGAACACCGGCTCCGGGAACTGGCAGAAGGACAAAATGAGCGGGGCTAGGGAGGATGGGGGACCTCCACGGGCGGGAAGTTGCGCGCCAGCCGCCGCCGCCAGGACTCCCTCCTGCTTGGCGTCGAAATTGCCGAAGCCACGAGCAATGATACAGATGGCCTGCCGCCGCTGCTCATTCAATGCGTCTTCGCTGGATCGCACAAGCCGGTAGCTGGGGCGTGCCCCGGGGACATGCAGAGGAGGATGTGTGTGAGCGTGTGTGAGCGTGTGTGTGTGTGTGTGTGTATGGGTATGCATGCGCGCTTGGACGGGGGAGAGAGGCAGAGAGAGGGCCAGGGGCTCGCAGTGCGCAGGCGATAGGAGCATATGCCAGAGAAAAACAACAACTAGCCAGCGGTCATGTACCTGTGAAAGAGGCAGCCGGAGCAAATGGACTTGACCGTGGTCAGGTCATTCGCGCAGAGAGGGAAGAAGGAGCAGGGGATCCGAATCCCCTCTCTCCCAGTGGCTGCCGGGGGAGGAATGTACACCAGGGCACTGGAGGAAGACCGTAGTGACGGCTGGCGCCGAAGGCCGGGGCTCGACCCATGAGGAGGTCCAGGGACTGTCTGTCGCGGGGGGCTAGCGCGGCCGGGGCCCTCGGAGCGAGTGGGCGAGAGAGGAGGCCCAGGGATGCCGGCACCTGCGGGCAAATCAGCGACCAATGGCGCTTGAATGGGCATGCCTTGCGAAGTCATGGAGGGTGTGTTGAAGGCCCGGGGGTCTGCCGGAGAGATGAAGACAGGACCCGGAGGAGAGAGAAAGCGGCGGAGGGGGAGGGCAAAAAAGTTAGAGGCCCGGATCACGGACATGGTGATCAGCCAAGCCAGGCCCGGCAGCCGGGGGACCCCATACCATGAAGCAGATCGCCGACCACCCACTGGGCGTCATCAGATCGGCCGCTGGGCGCGTGGGCCTGCGTGTTTATGTTTCTGCGGGGAGGCCGGGCCGGCGCGCGGCCTCCCCAACGGCACGGGCGGGAGATTAAGCAGGCGACGCTGGGACAAAGAGGGGGGATGTGCGCGGGCGGTGGCCGGCGGAGGATGCACGGGCGCCGCGGGGCCCGGCGAGGGCTGGCGGTCGAGGTAGAGCTAAAGAGCGGAGGGGGGAGCGGCGGAACGGAGAGGGCCGAGGAAACAGTGGAAGTGGTGGTGGTGGTGGGCGAGGCGAGCGGAGGGGGCGGCAGCGGGGCGCAAGTTGGGGGAATGGGGGGGGGGG